AAACAGGGGGACTACCACCACAGTCTGCCAATCCAGGGGTACTGCCCCCGATGTCAATGCGATATTGCAGAGTGCGTGAGCCAACACAACCCTACAACATCCAGAGCCTTAAGGAACTCCGGGCAGATCTCATCCACCCCCGGGGCCCTGCCACCGAGGAGCTTCTTAACCACCTCGGCGACCTTGTCCCCAGAGATTGGAGAGCCCAACCCAGAGTCCCCAGGCTCAGCTTCCTCAACAGAAGGCATGTTGGTGGAATTGAGGAGGTCTCCGAAGTATTCCGCCCACCGGCCCACAACGTCCCGAGTTGAGGTCAGCAGCAGACCATCCCCACCATAAACAGTGTTGGTGCTGCACTGCTTCCCCCTTCCAAGACGCTGGATGGTGGACCAGAATCGCCTCGAAGCCGTGCGGAAGTCTTTCTCCATGGCCTCTCCAAACTCCTCCCAAGCCCGAGTTTTTGCCTCAGCAACCAGCCAAGCTGCATGTCGCTTCAGCTGCCGGTACCCATCAGCTGCTTCTGGAGTTCCTCAGGCCAAAAAGGCCCGATAGGACTCCTTCTTCAGCTTGACAGCATCCCTCACCGAAGGTGTCCACCAACAGGTTTGAGGGTTGCCGCAGCAACAGGCACCGACAATCTTGTGGCCGCAGCTCCGATAAGCCGCCTTGGCAATGGAGGCACGAAACATGGTCCACTCGGACTCAATGTCCCCCATGTCCCCGGAATGTGTTGGAAGTTCTGCCGGAGATGGGAGTAAAGCTCTGTCTCAAAGGGGACTCCGCCAGACGTTCGCAGCAGACACAAGACATTTGGACCTGCCAGGTCTGACCAGCATCCTCCCCCACCACCGAAGCCAACTCACCACCAAGGAAGTGGTCGGTGGACATCTCCGCACCTCTCTTCACCCGAGTGTCCAAGACATACGGCCGCAGATCCGATGATACAATGACAAAGTCATGAATAAAATGCATGAAAGAGAAATGGTAGATTAACAAGGGGAATAAATTCTGTCCAATTATTTTTAAATCAAATCATATTTATTAAGCACTGTTGGTATCACACCAGTTTTTGCTGTTAAAACTGTGGCCAGCTGCTCCGTAAAAGTAAATAAATAAATAAACCTTCCACCATGAGGACAATGTGGAGGTTCATCCTCGGAGCCGATTGTTGATCTGGTGGAGTCAGAGCTTCTACTGAGACAGAAAAGCCTTTAGGTTTCCTAACACCTGATTTCTCTGCTTCCTCTTTCATCTTCATTTGCTTAGACTGCAAAAATATGTTGAAGATAAAAACATTGATGAACGAGTTATAACAACAACCTCACAATATCAAAGTCTCTCTGTCATATGGAGCTTAATTAAAACCAGGTTAAGTTTATGAAGAAAAGTACATTAAGTTACAACAAACAACCTCCATGCAGTTATAACATGAAGCTGAATGATTGTTATAGTAATAATCATAAAAGTCACAATAAATTTGATAAAGTATTTTTTTCTGAAACCAATGTAAGTTTGCTTATATGTGTACTGTACTGTTTATAATTAAACAAAGATAATTAATAAGCAAACTTACCACCAGCTAGCAACACGTTAGCAGCCTTCGTCCCTTCGGGCTCCTTTTGTGACTCACATTTCATTTCCATCGGTTGTTGTCCAGTTGTGTTGTCGTCCAACTCGGATTAGGACGTCACCAGCTTGAATTTACCAAAATTAGTAACTATTGTCAAGGCCCTCTCTACTTTTAAGGCAATATTATGCGAGTAAAAATGGCGAATTTGAACAGCATCTGTTATCTTCTCTGGCTTCATGGCTGTACTTTTTATGGCGCTTTTCAAAAAAACAGAGTGCATTACTGCCACCATTTGGTCTGGAGTATGAACTGGAGCTAATGCCATTCACTAATAGATCTTACATCATACATCCGAAATGAACTGGATAAAGAAAATTTCCATGTTTTAGTTAAAAAACTGAAAACAACAGATCATATTCGGAGAGATGTAAAACTGAACATACCTGCTACATTTAGTGTTAAGGACAGGTATTGTTTTTGTTGTAGCACCTCTGTCACTAAAGTGTCAATGTTTGATATTTTGAGGCATGAACACATTAGTTACTTTGTTAAACAACATTACATCAAGTTCCATTATAAGGACTGTTATTTTTTATTCTCTGCCATTTTAACAAAAATAGTAAGAGATTACTAAAGCACCTAAAAAGGCATACTTTATTAGCCTAAAGTGTACACTGAGATGTAATTTAAAACATACTGAAATTAATTATTTAAAGTAAGTGTTAAGTGAATTTTAAGTTAATTCAAAAAGATTTTGAGCATATATTTTAAAATGTATGCTCAAAGATATATTTGAAATATCTTTAAAACATATTTTAAAGATATTTAAAATGTCTTAAATATACACTTGAGAAAATACATATTTTGTTCACTTAAAGTATACTTTTATTTAATATATTTCTTAAAAGTGTATTTTGGTACAATTTTATTAAAGTATGTTTAAAGTTATAATGTCAACATTGGTACAAGCATACTTTTAGTATACTTCTTATGTATTTATAGGTAGTACACTTAAATGTACTTAAATGTATTTGAAATATACTAAAGTATATATTTTTTCTCTAGGGCACAATAGACATGGGCCAAATGGCCCACGTCTAGTTATGTAGCTTGATAACTATCAAGCTACATCGAGGTTGTAAAAAATTAGGGCTTCAAAATCATTAAAAACATATAAGGTATAAACTTTCAGAGAAAGCGTTGACTGGAATTTTTTTAGACTGTTTGGTGACCCTCATCAATGCGGAGTAGATATTCTTTTACTCCCTGTTATCACACATAGGACTGCACAACATCAGAATCAAAGATGAAAATGGAATTTGTCAGCATTATGATTGAGCACAATGGAATTAGTTTTATGAAAAATTTTGTAGTACTATTGTGCTAAGGATAAAAGTGACAGTGCTCCTCTTTTCTTTTGTTTTTGTTTTTAGGTAACTGTATAGCATGACAGTTCTAGTCCCACAAACACAAATACTTCTCTTGAGAAACATTCCAATTTGTAATATGCATCTTTAGGATGCTAGCCACATAAAAAGTGATTTGGATCATTAACATGCATTAGAATTTTAAATTTATCGATTACCTTGTATGTAATGGTGCATTAGGTCCAGTGTAGAAAAAGAAGGAAGAATACATTTCCATCAAAAAACTTTAGATTCTCAAAAATACTGTAAAAAAAAAAAAATGTTGAAATGTCCAAAAGCCTGAAATTTTCGACTTTATGAGCTCAGAAAATTTCCAAATTTTTTCTAGGAAATTTTCTAGAAAATTTAATATATAAATTTCAGATTTTTTTCTCACAGTTTCAACTTGAACCTCAGATATTTCCTCATTTTGTACTCAAATGTACTCCTTTTTTCTTCTATCTACAGCGGCCCTACTTCCCTGTCGTACCTGTACCTATGAAAAAAAAAGTGTGGAGAAAATAAAAAATAATCTCGACAAAAACATGTTTTGGGAAATTTTAAACCTTGTTAACTGGAATTTATTGTTATGGCGATAACCTCACCATAACAAACTTATCACAATGAGACATTTATCACAATAAATGCCGAAGTCTAATAAACATGCACACATATTTTATCTTCACTTATAAACTTTTAGCTTTGAAAGGTAAAACCCACAGCTGCACATCTAAACGCACAACTTCCAAATCTTCAGCTCCTCTTGGGCACATCCGATACGCTCCTATCTCCTTTGATAAACTACACGTTTTCCAGCCTCTAGGTGCGGCCTGTAGTAATAACGTGTCTCTTTCCTCTGAATCCTCACCTTAGGTGGCTGGTCGAGTGATGTTAAAGCAAGGATACGGAAAGATTATTAACACAGCCTCCATGGCCAGTATAATAGGTGAGTAATGATTGCATTCTCCTCTCTTTCTCTCTGGAGCTGCTCAGGGTCAGCATTTAATCTCTTGATTTGGCGTGAAAAGGATGTACACTTCAAACTCAGTAGAAAGGAGGTATTTGTTGCGTTTTTTTGTTTTTTTATGTTATTATTTACAAGGTTCTTGTCGCTAACAAGATTAGACAGCTTTCACTTAAATTCAGTTGCTCCAATGAGATCCAAAGGCATCTGCCGCCGCTTCCAGCAAAAAGCACAAAGTGTCGTGATTGCATCTCTTCAAGGCACTTTTGCATCATAACAAACATCCCCTCTCTCCAGAGCCTCGCGGCGGATGAGGAAGACAATCTGAAGTCCAACTTGGGAGGGGAGGGCTCCTGTGCAGAGGCAAAAAAAAAAATAACACCAACATGAGCCCTGCAGGCCTTGTTTGAGCAGCGTAAGATACTTTGAGAGTTTTGGTCAGGGCCTAGCAAAAGTCACGCCTGGTGCAGCAGTTCATCGACGGTTAAAGTTAAAGGTTAAAAGATTGGCCCTGTCAAATGGTGTGCCATATGGGTCCCCCCTCCTTCACTTCCTCTACCAGTCCCGATTTGCAGGAGGCAAACTGTAATACATGAGCGTGCTGGTAAATAGAGACTGCTTTAAGAAAATGATCAATTGCCCGCATTACGTCCAGCCCTTCAGGAATTCACTTTATCGCTCCAGACATCTGTTATAATATTGTCATAATGTGTAATCAGATGGGAGCCATATGAACCAAGTGGAAGCTGGAAATGCACCCGTAAACGTCCAATTAAAATGCACAATGACAGCTTTTTATCCATCTGCTTCATCAAAGGGTGTGTGTGTGCGTGTGTGTGTGTGTGTGTGTGTGTGCGCCCTGGTATCACCACACTTGCACACTTTCTGACCATCACAGCTTTATTCTTCCTTTCCTCAGACATGACTGGAGTAGAAGTATCTAATGTGATGCACAATTATTTGCCCCTTTAAAGACTTTTGCTTTTTATATGCTTCAAAAAATGTTTTAATATCAAGCAAAGTAAAGGGGAAAATGTTTTTAGATAATTTCATTCAATAAGAGGGAAAAAAAGACCAAACCAAATTAGCCCAGTGTGAAGATACAATGACAACATGAAATAGGCGAAAGTGTCTTGGAAAGTGAGACGTTCTGCCCTGATGTATTACACAACTCCTTTCGATTCTCATTTCCCTTCAGTTCTCTGTCTGGAATTTCTCCCATTGATCTGGATTTCTCCAGTGGAATTTCAAGGTGTTCTACTAATTTTCTGCGCTGTTTTGGAATTGCAGTAATTGTAGCAATGGCAGCAGAGGAAGTGAATGAAGTTATTCAGTTCGTTCAGTTCCATGTATTGCAGTTCTCATTAATAGCCATCTTGTTCGGCTTTAACTTCTCTTTTCTCAGTTTACTGAGTGGGGGATGGTTGTTTACAGCACAGACCTGGGGTTAGGGTGTGTTAGGGTTCTGTGTCCTGTTTACCCCTCTGAGTCTCTGTGCCGTCCTGATTGTTCCCAGCTGTGTCTTTTTTCTTTGGTTACCCTCCCAGTGTATTTAGTCCCACTTGTTGTCTTTGTCTGTTGTCGGATCCTCGTCGTGTAACGTCTTGCTGCCTGTTGTTCCGTTCTGTGGTTTATTCATTTGGTCATCATCATCCTCATCCTGGGTCCTGTCTGCATCCTCCCTCACCACTCAACCTCACAAATCATGACAGAGTGTTGATTCAACTCTTTCACAAATAACACTTTCAAGTGTCATTTTAACACAATCAAGAGTTGACCAATATAGACCCTTTCAAAGTTGAATTCACACTTCCAAATTTGCTGTGTATTTCGTTTGTTTCTTTCACCCGAATACATTAAAGCATTTTTTTTGTAATGTATTTTGTAATTCCTACATTATTTGTGTTCAATATTAAAATTTGTTTGAGCTCAAAACATTCATGCAGCAAAAAAGCAAAAAAAAAAAAAAAAACTTTATCATTGTTTTAAATTTCTAAAAAACTCAGGCGGTGTGTTGATCTTGATGATGGATGTGTGGCTCGCTAACTCTGACCTGCCCAAATCGCCTCCATGGTGATAGGCTCTGCAACAGCAGCTTCATTCTGGGGAGATGAATACATCATTTGAACTTCTTATCTGCTCGGAAGTATTCAAAATGTAAGCGTACGCGATAAAGAGCATGTTTTCACCCAGAAACGGAGCAGTAAGTAGCTGGGTGAATGTTAAAGAGGGCTTTGGAGAATGCGCTGCCTTCAGCCTCCTTTTCCCTTCTTCGGGGGATTACTGTTCTTTAAGTCGGTAAAAAACATCAATGCACGTTTATTTAAAGGATGAAGGCATTTTCTGAATGATATTTGGGAGCCGTATCATCGGGTCTTGAGCTAGGATTAGTGCTGTTAGGCATTGCAAGCTCTCTTTCCTGTCCTGATAAGTTGGATTTCACCTTCAATATGCGTGTAAGCTGTGGGCTCTGCTCCTTCTCGCCTGCTCCTCTCAGGTCCTAGCCCGGCCTCATCCGGCACAACCCAAACCCGCTGTTAGTATTCCCTTTGACATTCCACACGCAATCCACCTAATTTTTTTCATCATCCTTTCGTTTATTTCTTCATCGCTTCAAAATGTTCTACTTCTAGCATGCACATTTTTTGACTGAATAATATAAGCTGAATGCTCCCAGCCATTTATTTCCCAAGACGGGTTTCTTTTTTACCTCTCCACAGCTGGCCGGTATTTATCATCCCGGTCTCACACTGAAACCATTTGGCAGTCAGATCAGTGGGTGATGAGGTTAACTACTAAAGTTGTATGTAACTTGGAGCCTTCCTTGTGATGATTAATCAACCAGCAGAAAATGAGCCCCTGTCCCGGCGTCCCATGCAGTGTGCAGCATCTGTGATGGTCAGGGCAAACAAATGGCTCCCCACTTTTGTTGCTGAGGACATAGCATAACTGGGCATTATGAGCAATTAATTTTACATGACTTCATCCGCAGAGTTACCAGCAGCAAATGAAAGAACTTTTCATGTAGTGCCCAGAAGCACCAGCATGCTGTAATATACAGCAAAATGCTGTTGACTCTCTTTAGGAAAATATTTTAAGTCTACAAAAAATTTGAAAATCAACTGTTTTTGTGTTTTCATCTAATCATTCTAAATCTGAAAGTTTCATGAAGAACCTGGGTATTTTCAAAATTAACATGGAAATGATTAAACTCAGTCCAGACTCATTAAAAACTGTGAAGCTAGTTTAGCGCTAGTTGAAAGCTGTTATGAGTTACAGTTCACATTGTTAGTAACTGAAAGTTAGCTGGTACTGCACCTGCCTGGGGATAGCTAAAATCTACAAATACATGGGACCCCCATTAAGAACATCTTTAACTCACTATTGTAATAGTTCACACACCATAAATGTTTTGCTATACACTGAACAAAAACATAAACACCCCATCTCACATATAAGAGTTTTATGAACATTTGGGTTCTGCGATATGTAGAAAAACTCAAAATATATTTTCAGTAATTACTGATCTTCATATCATCATTGATAACATCGTGTTGTTAACATTGTAATGGCTCAACAGTCATTTGAACATGATAGGGGTCAGGTTGAAGAATTTGATTGTGACCAAGTTGGCTTCTCGTAGGCGGCTACGGACAATCTAACTCCTACCCTGTGATGTGTCTGTTGTGCAGACCAATAGTCTCATCAACTGTGTGTGTTGCTGGTCTTAGCTGATCCCACAGATGGACAAGCCAGACCTGGCCATCTTGACCTGGAGTGGTCACACATGGCCAACGAGGATGAGGTCGATTTGCAGTATTGGAAACAAACTCTTAAATGGCCGATGGTCCGATAATGGACATTGAGCCATGCAGGTACGGCTCTAGTGGACACCCCTACATCCAATATGCCAATGACATGCTCCCGCATAACTTGCAACATTTGAGGCATTATGACTTGTGACAGAATTTGACATTTTGGGGCGAGCTTGTATTGTCTCCAGTCCAAGGATTGTCCAGTTGCTGCTCATTTTGTCTGATCACCCACTGGACATGCCTCACCCAGGCATCGAGTGAAAAAAAAAATGTACTGAGTAATGCTCACTGACATCAAGTTGGATAAAAAATTATACACAAGAGAAATATTACTTTTGTACAACAAAATATCTGCAAATACTCACTTACAGTTGTTAACTCCATATGGCAACAATATTTGACATGAGGCATTTATATTTTATAATGTATATATGCATATGTGTAGTAGAAACAAGAAGAAGAAGCTAATATCTAGTTTTCTCTCAAGTTGGCCAAATCTCAGGTATTGGTAATTTAATTTCCTTACTGAAGTAAGATGTACTTGTTGCTTATTAAGTGAAAAATTATTTCATTCACACCTTTGGCACTGAGACCATCTTTGAATAAATGCTGGTATCAAACAAATCTTCTATTTTGTCAGGTTCCCAAATTTCAATGGTCCACAGTCTAACAGTTGTGGCGATTAGCATCCCTATCAATGGGGGAATGTGCTAACATTAAGACATTAGTGTAACATTAGGATCCCGTTCTCTATAAAAAAATATATTAAGTTGTCTTGGTATTTGTTGTGTTGGATTAGAGCTAAAGATTATGCTGAACAAAGTGTTCTCTTAGCAATTGAATAAGACTTTTTCAATGGTGTACTTAAGAACAGAAAATAATGGAGGACCCAGTTAAACAACTCCAGATTTTTTCACTTTAAAAAAACAGCAACACAAAAACCAACAAACAAAAAACAGTGCTTTGTCTGAGTGATTGCAAACAAACTAACCAAGCTGCATCAGAAAGTGGCAATGATATTTTTCTTTTGTACTGCAAAAGGGGCTAAGCTTGGTCCTGGCTTCAAGCCGGATTGAGCATTTATGCATTGGCCTGGTCCCACCCTGGAACATCAAGAGCTGTGGTTCCAATCAGGATGACAGGGCTGGTTTGGAGTCAGCTGTCAGAAGAGCACTAGACTTTCTCGATGTCCTGTCATATTCTTATCCATAAGTTTTTAAATGATAATAATGACATATTCATTTGCATTTTGTTTTCTTTTCAGTTAAAATAATATTAAAGAAGCTGAACAGAGGATCCTCATTGTGGCATCACACATCAAGCAGATAAACATGTGAAACAAAACATACACTGCCTGTGGTCCCATTAACTGCATATAAATAATACAATTATTTATTATAATTGCACCTAAATTATGAGATATTCATCTTTGGTACACTGAATATATATGTGTGTGTATGTCAATAGGATTTATCAATATGAGTTTGATAAATCTGCGCTCTGTGCTACACTGGGATTAAAGCGCCACTTCTCCAACTGAGCCAATCAGAAGTCGGCAACACTCTGAACGAGGTCTTGTTTCTGCATCTGCTTTGCTTCAGCGAGGGAAATCCCACAAGCCGCAGCAGTAGTTCAGCAGAACCAAACATGAGTCCAGCTCAGAGAGAACACTCAGAGGAGATTTTTTCTTTAGTTAAACGCAAAGGTGAGGTGAATGTTTCCCTTAGCTTCCTCACTGACAAGAGCATGCAAAATGAGCTAGACATGACAACCATGAGTGAAAATATTCTACGTTCTTGGGGAGATCTTCTCGACAGGTTTAGCAGGAATTTGACCAACATGACATGATGTCCACCTTCATAGTCATACTCCGCTCAGTGCAAAACAACCAGTGTTGGAGTGCAGGGCCGAAGAGAGCTGGGCTGGGTCCAGGCCAGGACCTGCAGTGCAAAAAGACCTAAAATCAACATTTCCAACAGAAAAATATACAATAGCATGGTCAAACCTGTGCTAGTTTAAAAAGGCTCTTCCTCTGATTTTATGTCTCGTTTCCTCCAGCAAGTGACCAATTAATTTCTTAGGTAAAAGCAAAACGGTTGTATAAAAATGAACACAGAAGAATCCCTCTGTTCTTACTGTGGTTTTTAGCACAGGAAACTGTCATGATGTGGAATGGTTGGTGGTGAGAAAAACACTCGTAGGCCCAGGCAGACATAATATGAAGAATTTAATGATGACTCCACAGAACTTAAGCAGACAGGTAAGGCAGACAAGTAAGACAGACGAACACAACTGACGTTCTACATATGACAAGGAGGACCCGACAAGAGACACAGACAGCAGATGGACTTAAATACACCAGGAGGGTAATCAGGGAATGAGACACACCTGGGAAGCAATCAACAGGGAAGACAGGACAGGGACAGGACTAAACACAGAAAACACAGAACACAACAGAAACATTATGTGCTTGATAGTTTTTAATATCCTTTGATAGCGAGTCCATATTTATATATTTTTGAAAAATGATGGAGGGGAGTGTGTGGACAGGAGGTGGACTTAGAAGAAAATAATTATTTTGCAGTAAATTGCTATTGACACTAGCATTTCATCCCTGAAAATATGGGTTTTGATGATTTCATGACCCAGAATTGAACTTGTAAGCAGACATAAACATCCAACAAAAGGTATGACTTTGTCAGGGGATGCTGTGTGCAACCTGCAAGAAGATACCTGATGAAGTTAAGGGGTCTGTGCAAGTTATTTTGAGATTTTAATGTGATATAAACAGATTTCTGATTCTAGAAAATGCTAAGTGACCAAAACAAACAAAACCTATTTTATTCATCAAGTCATTCAAGTTTTATTATAACCTTTGGTTAGAAATTCATTGGGCTTGATGGCTAGAAATAGCTATAAATTAACTCAATCAACATTTTTTTCCCCAAGTCTTTCCTTGTAAAGACACTTAATTTTATAAACATTTCTTTCCTCTGCAGTGCCCCATCCTCAGAAGCAGATTTCCTATAACACATCCAAAGCTGGAGTCGTCAAACTGACCCAGACTTTGGGAACTGAATGGATTGACAGAGGAGTGCGCGTCAACTGCATCTCACCGTGAGTGTTTGCCGCTCTTCACCTCACATACTCGTTCAGCTTGTTTGATTGTCGTGAAGAATTGGGTGGTTAAACAAAAGCTGTGATTAGCGTATTTGCTATCTGAGAATGAGCTCTGCTTTGAGAGCGATGCGCTAATTTACGCCCGCGAACAACACTTCGCCGCTTAATTAGACGAGGTCTTGAGGGATGAGTCGACTGAGAGCTTGCTCTAATTTTTCTGCTCAAAGCAGCTGCAACAATGAAGCCTTGTTTGAATAAAAAACAACAACTGCAGAACACAGTTTTCTGACTTCTTCATCTGTGTGTTAAAATATGAGAGAGGAAGCAGGGTTTGACGCTAACCGGAGCATCCTCAGCCCAAATCCGTCCGGCCGCTCTGGGCAAACCAGGCCCAGAACACTTGGCTTTATTTATCATTGGCTTGTTTGCAAATTTTAATTCGCAGAGAAGCAATTCGGTCTCTCTAATCCAATTCTCCCCACGCTCTCCACCCTTTTGCGAATAGCGTGTCTCAATGGTCCGCTGATTTCTTTGAAGTGATGGTTGGTAAATATGCATAAAAAAGGAAGGGGTGTGAGGGGCAATTAGCGTTCGTGAGGCAGACTGGAGCCCGATTCTATTGCCAACTTTTTTAGCCGCAGCGGTGATAAGCTGCATTATCTATAAAATTGGCTGAGGGAAAACAGCACCTCTGATTGCCAGGAGAGGTTCCAGATAACAGGGCGGTTGAAGAGAAATATAATTGAGGTGGAATACGTTAACCAGGGGTGTCACACATGCTAATTTAACCAAATGTTTGAATTCTATATCCAAGGGTTGAAACAATGATTCAGTCATTGTCACGCTAATTGTGCCGGTTGACGTGTTTTTTCAGATGGAAGCTAACAAACATTTTCTGGTTAAGGTGTACCTAGTTTCAGTTTCAAACTGAGAAATGTAAGCCTAAGCATAAGTAAAAATGGATGTGAGCAAATGACTCCAGACGTCTCATCTTACCTGTGGGCTCCCCCCCCCCCCCC